AAAATATTACACCCGCGTTGCATTAGGTGCCTATTCAAATCCTATGGTCTGTGTCCATAGCAACTTCCGTTGCATCTTGGTGCTTGATGAGAAAAAAGTATCACTTGCAGATCCTCCACTTCTAAATCGGTTTGAAAAACAAAATATGTCAATTAATGATACTTTGACTGATGACATGAAAGAGTTAGTCAATGAACTTTCTAAATGGGTTGAACAAATATCAAGTATTAATACAGAAGATGGTATATCTAAATCTGGATTTAATGAGCATGACATGTTTGTTGGATTTGACAAAGAAGAAACATTGCAAAGTTTGGTTATTTACAATAGCGGCAAGTTTGGTTCGGAAAATAAAGAATCTATTTTGTCTAGATGCAAAGAATTGTTAATAGGTATTGCAACGTCAGATGGTATTGTAAGATCAAATAGATCTATATTGGCATATACAAATAGCGGAGAAGCTCAAGAATGGTATAATTTTTACTTCCGTCAAAAACGCGATGACCTTAACACATATATTCAATCACTGCTAGAAAATTATGATGTGACTGAGAGTAGTGGCTATATTGAAAATGCTGAAAATAAAAAGCAAGGCTTCCAAATTATAGTTAACACTTTTTCCAATATAAATACTGATATTACTTCATGCTTAAGCAATGTTGCCTGCCAGATTGACAAAATTTCAACATTCAAATCTGAAGCTCAACTACAAAACAGAATCAAACATTTCTGGTTGGAGTCGGATAATGAGATATTGATTTTACAGTGCGACCTAGCGACTGTTAATTCTGGATGCATTAAACTTGCCAAATTCATTATTGAGCAACATAAACATGAATTTTTATTTATAAATAAAACGTCTGAATATCCAAAACTATCTAAACATGTATGTATCATTCTTCACATGCGACGGGAAAACGATATACATGCTATATCATCATTCAATTTCATGTGCGGCTGGGATTTAATTACAATTGAAACTTTGTCTCCTCAAAAACATCCTCTAAAGCTTCATTTGGATCATTAATTAGATCAATAAATAAATTGTCTTGCTCATGTTGTTCCATTAAGAAAATACGATGAATTGTCGGGAATGTCAAAGGCAAAGGTTCCTGGGAAAATATCTTTTTGTAAAGATGAAGACGAATAGGTGACTCAAGTGGTAATATGCCTATGCATCTATGAATAAAAGATCGCCTTGATGAAAAATTGTTTTCTGTAATTGGTAATTCATTAAACTTTTCGAAAACAATATCAATAAATTGTTCCGAAATAATTTCTTGTTCATCTTCAAGTTCTTGAATTTCTAAAAGTTGCAGCAAGTCAAATGATTTTGAAAGGTCATTATATATTCGAAGTCTATGCATTGCTGGACTATCGAAAGAGTTTGGTAATTTTGTCGATAACGAAATTACATTTACTACATCATGTTGCCACATTAAAAGTTCATTTTTAAGATTGTTCATATCAATTTTATAGAGTTTCCCTATCATCATCTTTGAAATTTGGTCTAGTAAACGTTCTTCAACATTCAATTCCCTACT